GGAGGAGGAGGAGGAGGAGGAGGAGGAGGAGGATGAGGATGAGGAGGAGGAGGAGGAGGAGGAGGAGGAGGAGGAGGAGGAGGAGGAGGAGGAGGAGGAGGACCGTAGCCATTTTGGCTCAAGTCCGTAGCCGTTGGGCTCAGGACTTGACCTTACTGGCGTGGGGGAGTCAGCGGCCCCCGACTGTGACGCCCCACGACCTGGTCAAGTGAGGTGATTCAGGCATTCCCTTTTCGCGGGAGGGGCACCCCTCGTGCCCAAGTGTTTCTCTTCCCCAGATCGGTGCGGGATGCGCCGTGGGGTCTATGGTCGTGATGGGGTCGCGAGCGGGCAGATCATCTGCTCAACTTGTGGCTGCAGGAAGAACCCTCATCACTTTCGTTATTGTTATCACTGCAAGTCTCCTCTCCCGAAAGTCTTGGAGTCCCGTGCGCCGTGGCAGAAATCCGGATCCAATGGGGCTTGGGACAAGCCAGCCAGCAGACGCCGACAGGGAGGAGGTGATACAGGAGCTGTCAACCAGGGGTCAAAACATGCGGGGGCTGTCGATGAACTTCACCGTCTCATGCAGCTTATTGGCCCAAACGGACGTTTCAAATATTCATTGCCCTCTGCCGCCAAGGAGGGGATCAGCGCCGCCTGGGAGGCGACGCAGGAGGTCAAGCGCTCTTCGACTCCCCCGAGCCAGGTTCTATACCGTGCTGAACAGGAGGAGGCCCGTCGGTCGAAGAAGGTGGAGCGCTTGGAAAAGGATCTCACGGAGCTTGATGAGTACATCTTGGAACTCAAGGACCAACGTGAAGCATTGGTGGACTCAATTGCTCAAGAGAAGAAGGCTGTTGAGGAGGCTCGCCGTCAAGCGTCGATGCGCTTGGGCCAGAGTCTGCCAACAATGGAGTGTGTTTTACAGCAGCTCGAGAATTTCCAAAAGATCATTGCATCTCTGGGCCAGGAGGATGTCAGAAACCAATGGGAATCTCAGTATGCAGGCTTGGTGGACTCTATCAAAGGTGCGCTTCCAACCCGTGCAGGCCCATCTGGCTCCTGCGCAAGCGGGGAGGCACGCAGAGGGGAGGATGCACATGCAGTCCACCAAGCCGTACCTGGGCTCATGGAGTTCGAAGACGACGATTTGGATGAGGTGTGTGCTGCGGCAGGGGTGTCCGATGAAGCTCGGTCGAAGCTGGTGGGGAAGTTTCGGGAGCATGCGTTTCGTAAAGCTCGAGAACGTGAACGGACAGGACCGCCAGCACGCCACTCCAGGACTCCGCCACGAGCTCGTTCAGTTCCCAGAGGGCGTCCGAGCAGGGCACGCGAGTATGAGACTGACCAGCAGCAGAGCTGGGAAAATGCGTGAGACTGAACAGAATACTACTAGGCTTGGAGAGGCTAAGACCGACGATGAGGCCTTGACCACGATCGGGGCCGCACTCTCTGAGCCAGATATAGTGGAGACTGCCGTTGCTTCGGAGCTTCCAGGAGTCACCATGTCGAGCAGAGTGGACAGAGGTAGTGCTCATTCAGGTATCTCGCCTCGATCGATTGCCAGGTCGAGGTGTATTTCGCGACCTGGGGCCGCACTCTCCGATCCGGAGATAGTGGAGACTGCCCAGGCCTCGCAGCACCCAGAGGTCACCATGTCGAGCAGAGCGCCGATGGAGGCACGCTCACTCGGGGTGGAAGCACACTGGGAAGCCTCGGCCTCGGTGGAATCGCTGGAGGATCGGTGCAGCGCCCCTCATGAAGGAAAGTTTCCACATGAAGGTAGGGTACTCGGACATGGTTCGACGACTGATGAGAATGCTCGCAGGATGTTCATTGTCACGTTCAATGGGTCCAGTTAGTTATCAGATACTGAGGCAGAACTGGAGGGCATCTCGGGCAAGGATAAAGCGAGTTTTCGTGACTTTATGGAGACAACGATTGGGGGCATCAATTTGTTGCAGGAACACCGTCTACAAGGAAGGTTGTTTCAGTTTCAGGTCTCTAGACTGCAACGAAGTGGATGGAAAGTGTATGGATGTCCAGGAGTTCAGCTGGAGTCAGGGTTTGTGTCGGGTGGCACCTTCGTGGTCGTCAAGAACCACCTCGACACGTGGAACCCGCCTGGGGTATCGGCCGTCATCTATCCTGGGAGAGTGTCCAGGTTTTTTTTTTGGTCAGAAGTGCGAGGCTTGGGGTGTTGGTCATCTACTCAGTGTATCTCAACGATTCGGAAGGACTATCAGTGGTCAACAAAGAAATCCTTACCGCGATTTGGAAAGACTGTTTCAAGCATAATTTACCCTTCATCATTGGGGGCGACTTCAACGTGGAGCCGCATATTCTTTACAACCATGTTCCCAAGCAGCTTGGTTGTGTCATCAGGGCCACAAGTGTGCCCACATGCGTCGGAGCGGGCTCGTCGGTACTCGACTACTTCATCAGAAGCAGGGTGGTCGACTACGCAGTCCCGACGATCCATGTCGACTTGGAGGCTCCGTTCAGCCCGCACAGGCCCGTATTGCTCCACGTCAAAAAGATGATTCAGGAGATCAAGGTCAGGATCCCCAAGACCTACCAAGAGGCACCCCACCAGCCAGCCATCGGACCCAAAGAGGGGCCACCATCTTATGAGGACCTGGCTGGAAGGCTTGAAGAGTTCATCGAGGGTTGTCGGGACCCCAATGGAGTTGCCCACGTGGTCTTTGGGGCTCGTAGGGGCGCAGGCCTTGAGATCCCCAATGAAGTGTACTCGCAGTGGGCTCCAAGAGCTTGGAAAGAAATATTAGGTGTTGGCCAATGTCATGGAGTCTCGGGGCTTGCTGGTGGGGCCCCCGTGGAGTTCTCAGAGGTTCAGCTCTCCAAGTTGCTTGCCACTAAGCAGTATAAGAACGCGTGCCCAGGGCGCCTCATTCTTTGGGTTCTGAACCGCGTCAAGGAGCTTAGGACCCTCATCAGGAAAAGGGCTCTTTGGAAGTATTTCTGGGATCTTCTCGGGCAGTGGGATGGTCTCCCTGAACGTGGTGGCCCTTTCCGTCGACACTGGCGGACAGGAGGTGATTTCTGGCATCAGTTCTGTTCCTCTATTTCTAGGGCGCTTCGAAGCACCACGTTGGGAGAGGACGCCGTGGGGATTCTGGACAATACTCAAGAGTTTGTTGCTGTTTGGGCTAATCTGGGATCTTTGGAGGATAGATCCAGGGCCAGGAACTCACGGAACCAGTGGTGCACCGAAGCGGCTGAGTCCAGCATGAAAATGGCGTACGCGTACTTGAGGACGGGAGAACCCGCCAACGAGGAGGTTGTTGCATGTGGGGACTCGTTCACGAGTTCGTTGCCCGCTCGACTTGCGCATGAGAGAGAGATGTGGAAGGAAAGGTGGCAGGGGAGTGATGTCAAGGTCGAGGTAGAACCTTTCGTGCTTCCGTCCATGGCCATTCCTGTTCCAAAGCCGAGAGACATAGATGAATTGCGACACATCAGTTCCATCTTCAAGGCTTTCACATGCAAGCCTGATGGATTTCATCCTCGTCATTTCAGCCTTCTCAGCGAAGATGGGCTTTCGGTGCTTGCCAATCTCTTCCATCTTGTTGACATCCTAGGGGAAACACCACAGCAGATGCAACATCTTGTCATCTTTCTCATGGGGGGACCAGACAAAGGTAGACGCCCCATTGGCCACTACAATGGATTCGCCAGACTGCACGGGAAGACACATCGAGACCCCTGCCGACAGTGGGAAGAGGCTGTTGGGCTAGGTCCTGAGTTTTCAATGGGCAAAGGCAGGAGCGCGTTAGACATGGCGTGGAGGCAGAGTGTGCATGCTGAGAGGACCACAGGGCTTAGAATGCATTATGGAACTGTCTTGTGGGATATCATGCAATTCTATGAGCATATCACGCATGAGAAGTTGCTGCAGCAGAGTGTCATCTCTCAGCTTCCGCTCCACATCCTTCTCTACACGCTGTCTACGTATCGTTGGCCGCGAACACTGCTGTTGGACGGGGCTTTTGCCGCCCCTGTCTGGCCGCAAAGGGGCATTGTAGCAGGCAGTACCTCGGCTACGTATGAAGCGAAATCTTTTCTGCTTCCCACCATATTGAGTCATCGGGGGCAGGAGGGAACGAGTCAGGATCTGCATGTCGATGATTTATCCATTCATTCGTGGGGGGCCCAACTCGGGACGGTCGTTGAGAAGCTTCAGGATCTGGCTACCAGTTTAGCTGTCGTCCTTACCCAGCATTTGGAGGTCCCATTGGCCGAGAAGAAGATGGTTTCTGCTGCTAACTCAAATGCGTTGCTTAAAGCCATCCTGACCAAGTTAGGGTCCCTTGCGGGTCGAGGAGTGTGGACCGCTACTAACTTGGGTTTGGCTTTTACTGCGGGTAAACATCAAGGGTGTAGATGTGCTCGAGCTGTTCGGAAGAAGCGTTTTAGAACGTTCAATTTCAGGATCTCCAAACCCCGCGGTTCGAAGGTCTCCCAGGGGAAGAAAGCGAGGTTGTTTAAGACAGGGATTATTCCTACGATCTCTTTCGGCATGGAGGTGCAAGGTATTACACCACATGAACTGCTGCGAATCAGACGGGCCGCTGCCAGAGCTGGAGGTGTCAGCAAGCGGGGGTGCAACCTTGACCTCATGTGGGCAGTCTCCCCCAAGGACGACCCCATTCACCTGGCCGCTGGAGCGCTAAAAAGGCATGCCTGGGAGTGGTGGCGCATGTCAGAACAATCCTCGTATGGACCTCGTCGCCGCGCGGATGCGCTTAGCACAGGAGAACTGAGCAAGACCTTCCATGTGGTGGAGAAGGAGTTTCGGAAGTCTCAGGGAAAGTCTTGGTTGGTCCGCACAAAAAGACCCATATCGGCTATGTTACTTTGGCTCCAGGAAGCGGGCTGGTCTTGGGAGAGCCCAGCTGTCCTTGTGAGTGCTAGTGGTCAACGCTATGTGCTGACTGAGAGCCCGCCCCAAGCTGTTGCTGAAGGTTTCACAAGAGACCTCAGCAGGCATTTCCTGAATAAGTACCTGAGGAAAGTAGCTAGTGAGGTAGGATTCGACAGTCCATTTGTTGGGGAGGGCTTTTGGCTCCCTGTAGTTATTCGCACGGCCAAGAAGCTGGACGGTGAAGGGAACCACCTCCACCGCCAAATTTTATCTGGAGCTTTACCCACAGGGTCTGCCTTGATCCAGTGGGGATATCAAGTTGAGGAGGTCTGTCCTTTGTGCCAGACGGCGGCAGACACTTCGCGGCATAGGATGTGGCAGTGCCCCTGCCCAGAGGCCGAGGAGAGGAGGCAGGAGCACTTTGGTTTAGATTTTGTGGCCCAGGTCCGAACCGCGGGACCAAATAGTGCGTTACTTTCTCGCCTTTGGCCTGTCATGCCAGAGATAGATGCTCCTGCTTCTGACTGGAATCTCACTTTTGTAGGACCGCAAGGAGAGGAAGTCGACCCCTTTTTCTTTGAACCTGATGAGACGCTTTTCTCAGACGGCTCCTGCTACCAAGGCGAGATCCCTGAGACAGCAAGAGCGGGTTTTGGGATTGCGTCTATGTCAGATGACGGTAGTTTGGTCAGAGGGGTATATGGTCCCCTCCCTGCCATGCACCAGCAGTCGAGTGGTGCTGCAGAGCATGCTGGTTTGGCGGTCGCTATTTTGCGTAGGAATGTGGACAGTGCCGATCATGCCGCCAGCAGTATAAGAGTTGACAATTCTGGCCTTTTCGCGGGTGTTCGCAACGCTTCGAGGGTGTTGTCGGGCAGGACGCACTTCAGTTTCTTTTGGCGGGAGATTGGCAAGCGTCTCCAGAATAATCCTTGGCCGACGCTTTCCAAGGTGAAAGCTCACCGTTCGTTCTGTGAAGCCACTGGTGCTGAAGACTATCTGAACATAGCGGGGTCGACCATGGCGGATTTATTTGCAAAGCGTGGTGCCCAGGTGCATAATATTCCACCGTGTGATCTAGAGGTATCAAGCAAGGGATGAGGCTCGGAATATTCACAAAAAAGCCTTGTTGCAGGCGGCGTCATTCGTGTTCTCAAGGCTTGGCCAGTGCAGCCAGCAGTTTGGCCAGGATTTCCAGAATCCCAGGCCCAAAGGGCCGACAAGGGGTGGGGCACATTCCGTCAGCACATGGCAAATGTATGAGGTGCCTGAGGTGCTTGAGGGTAGTGTCGGGGCAGACTTCCTCTCCTTGCGTTGCTCCCAACCCCACGATCCGCTCCTTGTTGGAGGGCGGTGCGGGGTCTGGGCATAAGTTGCATTGGGCTCGATGTGAGGAGTCAGATGCCCCGATCATCTTTGTGTG